TTGAAAAAAAAAAAAAAAGGAAGAGAGAGAAGAGAGCGAGAGAAAGAAAAAGAAGAGAAGAATCAACCAGGGAGCTAGGGAGACGGCTCAGGGCGTAAGGATGCTCAGTTACACTCACCTCCAGGCCTCGCCTTGTTGGGGATGGAGACAGGAAGCTCCTGGGCTTTACTGGCTGACAGGCTAGCTCCAGTTTCAGTGAGAAACCCTGCCTCAAGAGAGGGTGATAGAAGAGGAAACTCAAGGACCTTTTCAGGCTACTATGAGCTCACACAGGCATGTGTGCACACATGTTCAAACACATGACACACACATGCCCACAAGAAATAAAACCAAAGCCGATTAACTTTTGAATAAACAAAGCCAAGGCTATGGATGAACGTGGTCAAAAGTCAACTAACCCTGGGCGCCTAACACCACACACACAAGATCTCTGTAGCCACCTTTGTCTTTTTTTTTTTTTTTTAATGCCAATTGGGGGCTTTTTACTTCATTTAAATATCTGCAGTGCTACATCTAAAAAAAAAAAAGCAGTAACTTTTAGGAAGGGGAAGAGAGAAATATTTGCAAAGCAAAATTAAAAAAAAATCAATCAATCAATCAATCAAACAAACAAACAAAAAAACACCCCAAACCCACTGGATTCTATCAGTGAGGATGCTTCTTCTGTCTTAGTGGATGTATTGAATATGGACACAAGTCAAGAGCTTTACCACTGATGCGCTGCCCACAGCTGCAGGGGCGTCCTGCTCGATGGCTATATTTTATAGCGCCAGTCTACACAGTACCTCCTAACATACGCCCAGTACATCTCTCTCCTCTTCCCCCTGAATCAGGGTCTCGCTCTGTAGCCCAGCTTGGCTTCTGACTCTCAGTCCTCCAACCTCAGCCTCCTGAAAGCTGGGATTAAAGGTGTGTAAACCCACCTAGCTAGCTCATAAGCCCAATTTCATGAATGAGATGAATGACCAAAGCCAAGAAGGTTAATTTCTACCTCCAGATTCACAAAGCTAGTGACAGAGATGGGAAGGAGAGATGTGACAGGTCCCTGAGCCTAAAGCCATGTCGAGACTGGGATGCTCAGGCATCAAGGAGTTCCAAGGTTCCCTGTGGGAGGAGAGAAATGAGCTGTACCAGGTGCACAGGTACCTGCGTGGTGCCACCTCCCAGGCTTCCACTAAAGCAGAGGTCCTGCAGATGTGCTGAACCCTTGAGTCTGCAGCCTGAGCTCTACAGTCTGGGAAGAGTGGGTCTTGCGGCCACCACAGGCTGCAGGGCAGCCGTCTAACTCTTCCATCTGTCCTTCTGGTATTTGTTACTGTGTATCATGCAAAACCACCTCCAGCCTCAGCCTCCTTCATATTTCTCAAATACACTAGATGCAGGGCTCTACACATGCTGGCCTTTCTGTCTACAAAGCTCCTGCCTTTCTCTCTGTCAGACTCGTCCTCAGTGACTTCCCGCACACAGCGACCGTCTGATGAAGAAGTGGATGAGTCTGCCTGCCTATTTTCTTGTGTATCCGCCTGATCTCCTGAAGTCAGAGGTCACATGTCCTCTAACAGTGGCCTCTTTTTTACCCTGACATCTGTCTACACCTTCTAGGGCAGTCGCCAGCCACCAGGGTAGTAAAGTATAACAACAGGGTACCATATTCCTGGGGGTACTCTGCCTGGATGCTATGAGGAGGCAATACGGGGATTTGTCTAGGTTTAGCAGTATTAGTAATGTGTACCAAGGGTTCAGGGTGAGAAGCAAAAAAACATTCTGCGGCTGCCAAGCCTGGTAGTCAGGGATCCTTGAGACTTGGAAGAAGCTAGATTGACTGAGCCAGGCAGTGCCCTGGTCCTCAGGCTGGGGTTGCTCAGGAGAATGGCCGGTCACTAACATTCAGCACTGATGCCAACAGGTCCTGGGGTACCAGATGATCCTGTCCCCAAACAGCCCAGACGAACCTTCAAGGTTGATGTTCAAATGCACACACCCTCCCTCTCTTCCCTAGCATAGCCATGCTGGCCATTACTGTGGAGTACAAGGAGCAGCCATTTGTCAATGAGTTCTCTCAGAACTGCAGACAGAGGCAGAACTGGCTGTACACAACCTAATACTGTACCACTTTGTCCCTGGATGTGACATTTTATACAAGAGGCCTAGTCATGTCTAGATTCATGAGCCCAAGCATGGATTGTAAAGAAGGCCACAGGTCTCTGCAGAGTCCTGCTCCTGTAGCCTGCCAGACCTGGAGCTGGGGGAGGTATGGCAGCATGCCCCTATAGGTGCGGGATGGCCATCTAAGGTTAGGTAGCTAGATATTGGGGGCCTTAGTGACCGCTGAGGACGAACCCCCCTTCCTGTTTCCCCGGTTATAATACAAATGGAAACATTTAATTGCTTCCTTAAGATTTAAAATGCCAAATACAGGGGTGGAGGAACCTTGGCTTTGTTGCAGCTCCTTAAGAGAAAGCTAATTCCCTGGTCAAAAGACTAGAACAGAAGTCCCACCTCTGGCTGGGCACGGAGCTCTGACATCCTAAGCTGCTCTGAAACATTACATACTCTTGTCTCCTCCTTTTAAGAGTTAATCCAATGGGACCTGTCCACCACCTGGCTGGAAGTCTACCCTTCCCCCCACCCCCACCCCACCCCACACACATCCAGGGAACGGGATTCTACCGAAGACATGCTAAGAAGATGGGAGAAATAAGTATCCCCTTGGTGAGATGACGCACCTGTCCTTTCGGAAGCGCCTTCCTCCACGCCGCCGCCTCTAGCCGGCTCCCATCTTACACAGCTCAAGCACAGCACTCACTACAGAGCCTGCTGCTCTGAGAAGCCTCTTTCTTTCCCAGCACTTTTTCTTTGGGATTCTGGGTAAGGACCAAGCCTTTGGTACCCGCTCTCACGCTCTCTCTGCAGCCGGCCACTCCAGCCCTCACGCTGGCCGCCTCCATTGCAAAAGGCATGGTTTTCCTTCTGCTTTCCCACCTCCCTCCGCCTGCACTTGCTTGCTCTGTTGTTTTCTCTCACATTCTAGTAAAACTGTCCTCTGCCTTCTGAGTCCGTTCTTAAGTTCATTTATTAACGACACTAAGAACCCAAAAGGGCCTGGTGGCGGCGGCACACGCCTTTAATCCCAGCACTCAGGAGGCAGAGCCAGGCAGATCTCTGTGAGTCCGAGGTCAGCCTGGTCTACAAAGCGAGATCCAGGACAGGGACCAAAGCTACATAGAGAAACCCTGTCTCAAAACAAAACAAAACAAACAAAAAACAAAAACAAACAACAACAACAAAGGGAAACCTTTAACACTGGCCTGGGAGAGGGGGGCACCTGGGACTTGGCCCCTGCTGCTCTGGGAAGGGGCAGGGAACGCTAAGGAACAATAAAGCAGTGTGCTAAGGCTAGGCGGAGCTCCTCCCAGCAGGGCACTCACAGTTCCGTGGGGGACTGGGGGTGAAGGCTGAAACGCCCCCTGCTCCAACACTGCAGCATTAATCTACATGCAGGAAGCTGAGGCAGGAAGATGCCTTGAGCTCAAGACCAGCTTAGGCTACATGGTAATAGTTTGTCTTACACACACACACACACACACACACACACACACACACACACACACACACACCATCTAAAGACTAAACCTCATACAGAGCACAACTTTAGTGACCCAAGCATTTTTTTTTTCTCTCCCTAATAAAATCCTCAGTACAGCTCTGGGAGGCAGAGTCAGAGCCCCACCTGTGGATGGGAAGGAGGACCTGGGAGTCACCGACTTTCGCTCCTAGGTTGGTCAATACAGGGGCGCTAGAGACTTTCTCACACCCAAGACAGATCAAAGATGGAAAAAAAATGCCCCAAGCAAAACTCCCCCAAAGAAATCTTTTCTCTCCAGAGATGATGATATCAAAGGACATTTTGTTACTTCTTGGAAATTCTTCTCCTTCCCAGGGCTGCACAACCCAGCAGTTTTCTGTAATTATCACTAAAGTATTCGGCCTAGTTCCTGCCTCCTTCGCACACTTTCACACAGACAGGAACATCAGCTCAGTGGTTACCTGAGCTCCGTGGCGAGCAGGTGCGCAGCCTTTGGGCCCCTGTAGCCCTGGCCTTGGCTTCCAAACTCTGGCAACGTCTCCAAAAGCCCCCAATCTGTGCGGTCACAGAGGGGAGCAGCCCCGCTCTGAACAAGCCCAGGCAAGCCCAGGCACAAGCCCTGCTCAATCCTCCTCAAGGCACCAGGAGGCTCCCGGGATGGAAGACGCCTCTCCAGCTCGGCGTCACAGGAGTTGGGGGTCGCTCCAGATGGTTGGTGCGGCCACATCTCCGTCACCTGGAAAGAGAAAGGGAAGCAAAGTGAGCAAAAGGCAGAGCGCGCCGGGACGGTGCCAACAGGTTCCCCAGGCAGGCGCCCCGGGGCGCCGGGGTCACGCTGGCCTGTGTGCTGGCCAGACCCGGGGGAGGTGGCCGGGGCACCACAGAGGGACCAGGCAGTCGGGCTGGGGTCACATTGCGCGAGTTGCAGACATTGGGTCCCGAGCCTCCGCCTCCCCTCTGCCGGGGTTGGCTCTTCCCCAGCGAGAGCTCAGAGTTTGCGCAGCGCCCCTAGCCTCAGCTCGCTGCCCAGTCCCAGGGCGTGCCACCCTAGGGCCGATATCAGTGTGCACCAGGGCCATCACGATCCTTCCGGGGTCCCTTCGCCTCTCTGCGATGAGACCGAAGCCCGAGTGGGCCTATAATAAGCAAACAGAAACCACAAGGACACTCGCCACAATGCCCAGCCCGCGGGGTAGCTCCCCGGGAAGAGGGCAGAAGAGTCCCACGTCTATGTCACTAAGTATGGAAGCGTCCTCTCTGAGAACATGCCAGCTCAGAATGTTCTGATGTCCTACGCAGCCCCAGATTCTAATGCTAGGAACAAGCACCCTGCTGTGGCCACTGCCCGTTTGACCTGTCCTGCCCCCCCCAACCCCCCCGCCACTCACCGTGCCCCGAGTTCTGGCACCGCCAAGACGCTGGGGTAACCCAGCTCCTCACTCACGTCTTAACAAGGCAAGCTGGTCCCAGGAGGGAGGGAGACGCACCGGGTGCATAGCGCTCTTGAGCTGGGAGCGCAGGGCAAGATACCAGGAGTGGGGCAGGGCTTTTGTACTAACTCAGACTGAAGTACAGAGCTGAGAGCCGCAGGGAGGAGTCTGGGCAGCGGGCCAGGCACGCGCCTCCCATTTCTCACGGTTTCTTCTCTATCCAGTGCCTATGGCGCAGGACCCCCCTTGAAGTTGGTAGAGAGGCACAGTGTGGACAGCCCTGAAGCCTGCCCTGCCCTGTGGAAAGGGGAACTCCACCTCTCATCCTGTCCCCAGCCATTATGTATCCCAGGGTCAGCCAGGATGCTCCAGAGACAAACTGCACTTGGGTCCACTGTGCCCAGGTACTAAAGTCACAGGCTCACGGTGACTCCTGTTATAAACACCTCTGCCTTGGCAGAAAACCCTTTGGCAGCAACAGATCCTCCTTGCAGACTTACACCCATGCACACTACCTCCAGCTCTCCACACACTTGGAATTCACACTTCAGCTGGGCTCTGTGAGCACAAAAGGGCACGGCCTCTGTGAGATTTAAGCCGTCCCCATTACCAGAGAAAAGCTCTCTGAAGCGAGAGGGAGAGACCCCATTCCTCCTACATGGGAGGAAAAGGGTTCTGGGGAAGAGAGAGGCAAACACTGCCCGGGCAGACAGGAACCACATGTGGGTAGTGATCGCTTGAGGTGTCCCCATTTCACAGAAGAGGATGCTGAGCTCATTGGGATGAGAGTGTGTATTCTATTTTCCCAGGCTTCTAGTATCTGGGAGATCTCAAGAGACCTAGAGTGAGCCCAGAGACTCATGACAAATGCCAGGCACAGGGGGACGGCTGCTAAGCAAACCCAGCCATTGCAGGGGTGGTAGGAATTACCCTCATTTTCACCTCCCATGAAGGTCTTCAGGGTCCCTGGAAAAGGAGGCTGGTGGCCAAGGAGGCAGCACTCAGCAAGGCGTTTGTTTTTTAAGACAGAGTCTCTCTATGGACCCCTGGCTAGCCTGGAACTCACTATGTAGACCAGGTTAACTTCAAATGCACAGAGATCTGCCTGCCTCTGCCTTTTGAGCACTGAGATTAAATGGGTGTTCCATCACGTGAAGCTAGGGCAAGGTTTTGTGGACAGGCAAAGTAGGTTCTCCTTCTGACTCACTGTGTGACCTTTGGCACTAATGAGTTTACACACACACACACACACACACACACACACACACACACACACACACACACCTTTCCTCATGTGGGCTCTTGTAGCACTAGGCATCATCTTAACTTTCCCCAGGAAGTGGGGGGTGGGGGAGATTTTGGTCAGTTTTTCAAAGAATCTTTTGAGATGACCCCTGGTCCTTTCTAATTTACAGATGAGGACCAGAAAGCAAAAGTTGCCCTTGTCACAGTGAGGGAGAGCATGAATGACTACATGAGCCCTACCCTGGGAAGCGGGGGTCACAAGGACTACAGCAATTGCTAACACACAGCAGACATCCCCATGCATCCACCCGCTCACCTAATGAGCCCCTGGGGAGCACCTACTATGTCACAGGCTTGAAGAACGCCCTTCATTCTGTTCTCCACAGGGACAGACCCACGGGAGCACTCAAATCTGGGTGCTCCATCTCCACTGGCTCTCTCTACCCTACTTTTCTCTGAGAACTACCAAAATGCCTTGATGTGGGTAGGCAGCTCACAGTCAGATAGACACACTGTGTAGATACTAGATTCCACCCAGAGAAAACCAAGAAAGCCCAGTTCCTACTCACTTTCCCATCCTTGGGGGCTGCATCAGTCCAGGTCCCTTTTTCTTCTTAATAACGTCACTGTAAAAATCAGATTTTTTTCCCTTATGGTGGGGAACAAACCCAGGGCCTTGTTCCTGCCAAGAAGCAGATCCTCAGCTCTTGGTTTTGTTTGTCTTTATTTTGTTTTGTTTTTGAGGCTATGTGGCACAGGCTAGCCTTGAACTCATGGTCCTCCTGCCTCGGCTGCCTGCATGCTGGATTGACAGAGATGTGCTTTGATATCTGGCTAAGGACTGTTTTAGGGAGGCCTCTCTGATAGACAAGCTCAGTCCTACCTCTCCTCAGTTTTTGTTGTAGAACCTTACAATAATCATCCGCACTTGGAGCTGCACACCTGGCCTCCAGGTGACGTAGGAGGTCTCTAGAGAGAGGGAAATTCACAGAGGCATGAACAATGTCAGCTGAGCCCCCAGGAACACCAGCCCATGTCCCCAGACACAGCTGTCATATGGTGCTCCAGGAAACCTTGGTATCTCCGATATGACCACTGATGCCAGAAGTAGTTATGGCTACTGCTCATTGTCCTCTCTAACATGATCTATAGAGTGCTCTAGATGTTTCTGCATCCAAGTCATCCAGGAAACCAAGGAGCACTGATCTCCTGTGCAGATACTGTGTATGAAAGGGACGATTTTCAAAGGAGTTTGAAAATGTTCTAGAATAAAGAACAGTGATGGTTGTATGATATGGTGGTTTGAATGTGATATTAGTCTGGAGCATTTGAATGCTTGGTCCCCAGTTAGTAGCGTTGTTTGGGAGGATGCACACATCTGTAACCCTAGTGTTCCTATGGTGAGATGGGAGGTGGGGACAGGAAAATCCAAGCAAGTTCTTGGGCCAGTAGCAAAAACAAGAGGCCATGTCTCAAACAAGGTGGAAGGTGAGGATCTGAGGTTGTCCTCTGACCTCTACACCTGTGCTGTGGTGTGCACACAGCAGCACACACATATACACTCACACCCATACCCACACCCACACACCCACACACTCACATGCACAAAGATTGAAAAGGAATAAGAAAAGGGGCCTTAGCAGTAGTGCACTTGTCCAGCATCAGAGGCCCCATACTCTTTCCCCAGCATTAAAAAGGGAAAGGGGGCCAGGCAGTGGTGGCACACACCCTTATTCCCAGCACTCAGGAGGCAGAGGCAGCTGGATCTCTGTGAGTTCAAGGCCAGCTTGGTCTACAAAGTGATTTCCAGTCCAGCCAGAGCTACATAGTGAAACCCTGTCTCGAAAAACCAAAATGGGGAGCGGGGAGGGACAAAGCCATTTTCAAATTATTTCTTCCCGACCCAGCTGGTTCCCTGAAAGTCTACCCACTCCCCTAGCCTAGAAGCTCTCATTTGTTGGTAGGTGACAAGAAATCAGGCATCCCATGGCTGCAGCTGATCTGAGGCCCTGAGTCAAGAGATCTGGGCAACCCGTTTCTTCCCCTCCCTCAGACAGGACTCCAGGGATACTGCCCCAAACTAGACCCTGCAGAAGAATAGTGGTTTGGGAAAGGGGCTTTTCCACTACTGCCTCCCATCAGAGAGATGTTGGATGTGGAGACACACAGGCCAGTGCACATACTTGTGTTTGCATTTGTGCGCACACACGTGTACGCGTGGCATAGGGAGAGGTGCTCCAAGGAGCCTACGAGCACGCAGAGACCCATGGCCTCATCAAGCACAGTCTCCGGGCTTTGTCTCCATAACAAAGCCATCTTGACTTGGCTTGGCAAACAGATCACACCAGATTAAAAACCTAAACCAGCTGGCACACTGTGCCAACTTCAGTGATGTTCACTGTGTGCCCAGAACTGTCACTGGGCACCTGAACTCCAGCAGCCTGAAGGTCCTGCCAATTTGCCAGCTCCTAAAGCTGCCCTGTGGCTCCTGAGTCAGATCAGCCTTTTTCTGATCAGGGACCAAGGAGAGCCTCGTTCTAAGACAAAACTGATTATCACTCGTAGCTAGATGGATAGCTATTTCATCAATAAGCATACAGACACATAAACGCCATCGGTCAAGACTACTCTGCATCCGAGGGTCTGTATCCAATTTGTTCCCTCTGCAGCTCCATGCAGTCCCCAGGTCTGGGCTGACAAGATGGCTCAGTGGGTAAAGAGGCTTGCTGCAAAGCCCGAGGAACTGAGTTTGATCCCTAGATCCCACATGGGAGAAGGAGAGGATCAACTTGCATAATCTGTCCTTTGACCTCTCCACAGGCTCCTGTGAGTTCCTGTGTTACTTGCAGGCATGGCTGGAGGCCGAGGCAGGAGGATCACTATGAATTTGAGGTCAGTTGGGCTCCCTCACGAGACCTCCAAAAACTAAAAACTAAAAAAAAGAAGGGAAGAAAGAAAGAAAAAAAATTAAAAAAAAAAAAAGCCGTTTTGTCAAGTAATTTGGGACAGCTTATTTGGATAAAGACTGATCAAAGAAGCAGTTAGAAAAAAAAACAAACAAAATAAATAAATAAATCTCTTAAAAAAAAAAAGAAAAGAAAAAATAAACAAACACCAGTGTGCTTTTGATTACAACCCAGACATCCAAACGCAGCACAAAGATGATGCCTGAAAGGGAGGAACAGATGCTTTTCTTTCTTTAAATTGTTTTTTTCTGAGATAGGGTCTCATTTAGCCCAGCTAGCCTTGAACTCCCTGTGTATCAGATGGATGACCTTGAACTTCAGATCCTCCTGCCTCTAGTGGCTGATGTTACAGAGTACAGGCCTGGGCCACCACATCCCATTTATTTATCTTATGTGTATGAGCGTTTGCTTGCACATTATATCTGTGCACCCCATTAGTACAAGGCTTGTAGAAGTCAGAAGAGGGCACCAGATGCCCTGGAGTAACAGAAGGCTGTGAGCCGCAGTGTGGGTTCTGGGAAACAAACCCAGGTCCTCTGAGGTGTAGCTACCTCTACAGCCCACCACACCCCGTTTCTGCTGTACTGGGTTTTGAACTCAGGACTTTGTGAACACTAGGCAAGCATTCTATCAACCAAGCTATACCTCAGCCCTAGAAAATTATCATTTTTATAAAACTCTGTGTGTGTGTGTGTGTGTGTGTGTGTGTGTGTGTGTGTGTGTGTGTGTGTGTACATTCTCGTGTGTTAATCTGGGCAATCTCAGGTTGTCGGAGGATAACCTCAAGCACCAGCCACCTCCTTCCATCTTGAGATAAGGCCTCTTGTTTGCCACGGTATATTTCAGACTAGCTGGTCCCCAAGCTTTTGGGATTCTCCCGAATCTGTTTCCCATCTCCCCATAGGAGCTCAGGGACTACAGACACTTGGCTACATGTCTTGCTTTTCTGTGGGTTCTGGGATTGGAACTCAGGTCCTTATACTTGTGTGCCAAACACTTTCATCCACTAAACCATCCTTAATTCCCCCAGTAGGTTCTTTTTAAAGTTCTGATGGGTCCTTGTGCTAACACACCTGGCCTGTTGATCACAATAGGATTAGCACGGGATCCAGTGGATCCGTAGACCAGGGACTGTAAGTCATTTCTGCAAGAAGTTCATGGTGGAATCCAGCCACCCCCACCACACCAACCAATGGGGTCTATAGGTCAGATAGCCCACTGACCAGCACCCATTCACCTTGCTGCCCTGACCCCACCCCACACCTCCAGTCTGAGAGATCCTTAATTTCATGTCTAGTGGGTCTAGGGAGGTAGCATTAAAGCCTGCTTCAAATCCTGTGTGGTGGTGTTCCTGTGATCCCAGAACACAAGACTCCGAGGCAGAAGGACTGCCAGTTTCAGGGATATAAGAAGAGCCTGTCTCAAAACTCAATACCCAAACAACAAAAACAATACAACCCACGGGCTGGGGAGACAGCTTGGTGATCAAACACTTGCTGCCCAAATGTGGGGACCAGAGTTCAAATCCCCAGGACCCACCTAAATGCTGGATGGGCATGTTGGCCAACGTGTAATTCCAGCCTCGGAAAGGTGGAGACCAGAGATCTCTAGACTGGCTGTATTGGTGAGCTCTGGGTTTGAGTGAGAGACCCCGCCTCACTGAATAAGGTGGAAGAACCTTTGAGAATGACTCCCAACATTAACCTCAGGGTCCCACGTGTACACATACTCATGTGCAGTACCCCCCCACGTGTGCCTGGACATATGTAAACATGAGTATGTGAATGTCTCTCTCACACACACAGAATGTAAAAAGAAAACAAACAAAAGACCTTGTCTGATCTATTGTCAAGGTCTCAAGAGATCTCCCCATCAATCAATCTAACCATTGATTCCAAGTTCCCAGTCTGGAGGGCTGGCCGCACATCTGACTCAGGGAGTGGCTTCTGCTTCCTGGTCTTTGGAATTCTATTTCCTCCTGGTCTTTGCATGTCCGATGCCACCCTGTCATGCTTTCGGCAATATCATCTGTCATTCACTGGTCTCTTCTGATGGCTCCTCCTTTGGACTCCTCCCTCTTCCAATTGGCAGATGCCAGGGAGTGGCCCTTATAGCCTTATTCTACCTCCCTATCTCCTACTGATGATCCTGTCCACTCTGGAATTTCGGTGACATTTATCCACAGACACCCGAAGTCACACCCTATCCTCCGACT